TTTGATTTCTTAAAATTGAGCTTTGAACCATGTTATTCTATGTGTTTATAAATGTTTTCCAGAAAATGGGCCCAAGAGGATTGGTTTTGATGCTTTTGAGCTTTGTTTTGAACCTGGAGCTCGAATCTGGGATTTCCAGATTTCAATCGTCCGCTCGAGCGGGGGAAGTGCCGCTCGAGCGGGAAAATCGAGCTTCCAGCATCTTGCACTGTTTTACAGTCCGCTCGGGCGGAGTATTGGGCGTTCGAGCGGAGTCATGTCTCAAGCTCGAGCGGGCGTCGAGCGGGGATTTCACCCATCCAGTACTGTTACAGTACGCTCGAGCGGGAAAGTTTACGCTCGAGCGTGTACCTTTGTTTGCCTGTACGCTCGAGCGGGACTCTGTTTTTCCGAGAATTCTGAAAATGTTTTCTAAGTATATCTTTGAATCCTCATCCCATTCTAGGCATTCTTAGGCCTAGTTTAAGGCATCTTGTTGAGGATATAGATGTAGAACACACCGAGGCATTAGGGATTAAGTTGTTATATTTCCCAACTGTATAGCTTAGTGTGTTCAATCTGTTAACTGTGTAGGGTCGGCGACTGGGAAGACACGCTCTAGCATACTGTAGCCCGAACTCTGTGAGTAACGATTGTGTAAAGATATGTTCACAAATGATTATTTTCTAAACAACCGAACTGTACTGTTTCTGAACTGATTACTGTTAACTGAATGAATGTATGTCCTATATTCTGAACTGTATTGTGGCATCCTTAGCACCTACTGTTACTGTTACTGTTACTGTTACAGAGATCTCTGTCGGTTCCCTTGTTAGAACCACTACTGTTTACTGACTGATGGCCATCATTACTGTTCGGTCTCCTAGACCTACTGTTTACTGTTATGCTAATGGATGTACCACATATGACTGTTTACTGTACTGAACAACTGAATGACTGATTGAAATGAACTGTTTTCATACTGTAAGGACATTCATTCTTAACCTCTTTACGCATTATGTTATTCACTGGGCTTTAGCTCACTGCTCATATATATATGTAGGTGTACAGGCACCAGACCGCGGCTAGGAGCGTCAGGATTCCTCTAGTTTTGTCAAGCCAGCCTATGTGCCTCACTGCGAGGTTCCGAGCCTAACCGTTAAGGCTTAGGGGTGTTTTAGATTTTCCCCTTCTGTACTGTCTTACCGTTCTGTATAGACTGAATGTTTACCATACTGATATGCAGGGATTGAGTCCCTAGTCTGGATGATTGTAAATGTTGTGCATACTGTTCTATACTGTTTATGTATAAATGTATGAGAAGTCTTTTTGCATACAGACTGTCACAGCTCATTGGGTACTGTTTATTTACTGTATTGGCTTCCGCCAGGCCCTGTACTCTGTTTTACTGTATTACTGTCCTGCAGGCCTTCGGTAATCTCGGATTACTGGCCGGTTACGGTGCTAAACCCATAGGGCCGGGTTTGGGTCGTGACACGACCCCCACCACCCTCACTATTTTTTGATTGGTTCAAAAAAAAAAAAATTTTTTTTTTATCTTGTTCTCATAGCCCCCCCACGTGGAGGTGGGAGTGCTGGGGTTCACCCCACTAGGAGTCCTAGCATTGTTGCTATATTTTATACTAGGGTGATGTAGGACAAGATTTTAAGAATTTTTATATTTTTAGTTTTAATATTTTTGATATATTATTTTATTAGGATTCTTGTAATTTAGTATAAATATTTTAGAATTATTAGGTTTCTTAATTTTATTATTTTAGAATTAGATTTTGACTAGGATTTTAAATAGTTTAGAATTTTAGTTTCCTATTCTCTTACATTTCTTAATTTGTGTTGATTTAAGTTTCCTAATTTATTTTAGAATTACTTTTCCTACAAGTATTAGGTTTAGTTTATTATAAATAGCTATGTAAGTCTCATGGCAAAGACAACTTTTATTCATTCAATCAACAATATTAAGATATTTTCTCTTCCTTGTGAATTCAAAGTTCTATTTTTCTTGTAGATTCGAGAGCCTCTTTCGTCTACTAGAACGATATCTAGTCCCCATGTATTCCGCTGCGTCAAGTGGTATCAGAGTAAAGTTTCTCCTGGCTCGATGTCATTTATCGAAAGAGGAAGCACAAGCTCTATTGACGATGATCGTAGAAAAAGATCTAATAGGATTCGAGCCAAGGGACTTGCCCAAGGCCAACCTTTTAGTCACAACGTTAATAGGTACCGCGCTATGGGATTTGCCCAAGGCTAACCTATTAACCACAACGTCTTGAGACGATCTTCTTGTTATCAATATAATAGTGAGAATGAATCTGAAGATGAGTTATTCGAGGATTATGGTAAATACCAGAAAGTAAGATGACAATGAAAATTCAATGATGTGTTCAATAGCAATAATTGCATCAATCATGACTTTTCATATTATCAAGTACCACCAGAAATTCCCTATTTTAATGCTTCTTGTCATGCCGAGGATTTTATTTATTGGTTTCGCAAAGTTGACAAATTCCTTGAATGTATGGGAAGTTGACAAATTCCTTGAGTGTATGGAAAGCTCTGAAGAAAAGCAAGCCAAATATGTCGCACGTAAGTTACAAGGTTATGTTTCTACATGGTGGAAACAATTGCAGTATGATCGAAGGCGACAATACAAACAACCTATTAGGACGTGGCATAACATGAAGAAGTTGATGAGTTCTAGATTCCTTCAAACAAATCATGGGCAAATATTGTATCTACAATATCAAAGAAAGCTTGAATCAAAACAATTGTTCCAAGGTAATTTTGATTCACAATATTCTTTGCAATTCAATAATTATTATGGAATTGTGGATACAGATTATTCGAGGAACATGACTATGGTTCTGTCAAGATTGGGTCAATCAAGTCTTGTAGGTCAACAAAATTGTCGCGCTCAACCACACATTAAAGAAGAAAAGATTTTGAGTACCTCAGTGTTTCAAAATTTTAAAGACCCAAATAGACATTCAATTGAAGTAGAAAATCAAGTTGATTTCAACAATGGTGAGAACACTGAAATTGATGAAAGAGAGGTCACTGAAATTACTTTGATCAAGAAGTTTAAAGAAGACAATGAAGAGGTGAAGCAAGAGAAAAACGTTGAAGTTAGCCAAGAACTTCTAATGACGGAACTATCATCTCTTGATTATTATAATAGTTATGAGATCGCAAAAGAAGGAGATCTAATTAAACTCAATGAAAAAGAAGAAATAAAAGATGAGGTAATAAAGTTGACATGTGCACCAGAGAAGTAGTTTGAAGATGCAATTGATGTTCGAAATATGATAATTGAATGTCCAACTGAATCTAAGACAAAGCAAAGTCTAGAGAGTATCCAACATCAACATAAAATACCCTTCGTTGATTTTCTTGGTGTTGAGAAATTTAATTTGATTTTCAATACTTGTGTAATTGATCTTGTCAACCAGTTGAAGCATATAGAGAATAATTTTCAAAAAGTAGACTTCTTCACATATAATTTATGGAAGAGAGACAAACGACTGAAGTATTCCAAGTATCTTTTCATTTGGGATGGACGATGGCAGATCTCTAATATGAACTCAAGGACGAGTTCTTTCAAAGAAGAGGAGTCTGATGTAGGACAAGATTTTAAGAATTTTTATATTTTTAGTTTTAATATTTTTGATATATTATTTTATTCGGATTCTTGTAATTTAGTATAAATATTTTAGAATTATTAGGTTTCTTAATTTTATTATTTTAGAATTAGATTTTGACTAGGATTTTAAATAGTTTAGAATTTTAGTTTCCTATTTTCTTAGGTTTCCTAATTTGTGTTGATTTAAATTTTTTAATTTATTTTAGAATTACTTTTCCTACAAATATTAGGTTTAGTTTATTATAAATAGCTATGTAAGCCTCATGGCAAAGACAACTTTTATTCATTCAATCAACAATATTAAGATATTTTCTCTTCCTTGTGAATTCAAGGTTCTATTTTTCTCGTAGATTCGAGAGCCTCTTTTGTCTACTAAAACGATATCTAGTCCACGTGTATTCCGCTGCGTCATAGGGGCTTTGATAGAGACCTCATCCAATCACTACCCCCACCACCCCCACACATGTGGCAATGGTGATTGGAGGAGAAGGGAAAAAAAAATTTAACCAATCAGAAAGAGAAAGGGTCAAGGAATAGAGGAAAAAGGGGTCCGGATCTTTTTCCTTTATTATACTTAGTTTCACTTTTTTACTGTATTTTCATTCTACAGTGCTTACTGTAGTATTTTATGTAGTAGTTGTTTAGGCCAAGTTTAGCATGATTGAAAAAAGACAAAAAGTTAAAAAGTCACTATTCTATTTAAGTCATATCACTTCTCTAACATATCATTTTAAATTTAATTCAAACCCAACTTATATTTTATAAAAAATCAATAAGGACATTTATTTAATTTTCTCAAAGTAGGCCTTAATATAAAAAAGAGTTACACGGCATGAACATGGCAAAACTCATTTGAAAATTAAACCGTGCCGAATCACATGGGTAACTCAGTCAGTCCCATTGGGTCCCACACAAAACAATTTACGCAACCAATTATTCACCCATATTGAACGGCCGCAAGCACATTTTTAAGCGGCACGTATCGTCCATGATGTCATCCAACGACCCAGAACCGACCTCACCCAAACTCTCCGGGTATGTGTAGTTTATATTTGAGAGATGAGTTTTAGAAAAAAAAATTTAAAAAATTATTTGGCTTGAATTTTTTTTTAAAAATTTATAAAATTACTTTCTCTTTTATATATTAATTAATTATTTTTTTTCTCTTATCTCTCATTCTCAATCACTTTTTCTTTTATACATATTTATTCAAATTCTTTCAAAATATCAAATCATCCCAAACTCTTCAAAAAAATAATTCTTCCAAAATATACAACCAAACAAACTAAAAAATTTTCTAAACCCACGCTCCAAATTTTTTTCAAAAACAATTCTCTCAAAAACAAACCAAACAAGCCGTCCATGTTTCACACGCCTCTCTCTCTCCCTCCCTCCCTCTCTCCTTGCTTTGTCGCTCACTTTTTGGGACAGAGAAAGTAACAAAAATGCTAACGATGCTGTGAAGCGAAAGCGATGCGAGCCCTGATGATAAAGATCACTGACATAACTGTCGTACCATAACTCAAACTAAGAAGCATCACAGCCGTCCATCATTCTTAATCTTCCATCCCCATCATCATCGTTGTCCGGCGACGTTCCATGAAATCACCCCGGAAGATGAAGAAGGCGGTGGTGGAGTTTACTCCTCCTTGAATCGTGTTCTACTGGGACTTGGATCGGCCAGTGAGTCTCCGACTTACATACATACAATCTATATCTCTACATATATACTTACAGACACAGAGAGAGAGGCATGGTGATGAGAGGGAGTTTGGTGGGGCGGCGGACGGCGCAGAGATTCCGGCAGGTGGCGATCTTGGCCGTTGGATCAGCGAAGATCAAGCTATTGCTCTGCTGTTGCATAGTCTTCACTCTGATTGTGCTCGGAAGCCGTGCGGCGTCGTTTATGGGATGGACTGATGACACTGCTTCTCTCAATCGGAACTCTGGTCCCAGGTTTGTAAGACTTCACAGCATTTTTAGATGAATTAATTCTATCATCATTGCCTACGTTAGGTTTAGATTAGGTTGGGAGATTTGAAAAGTAATTTAGAAGGAGAATGAGAAAAAATAAGAAAAATATGAATAAAATATATTTATATTTTATTTAATTTTATACCATTCTCTTTTTTTTTTTCAAATTACTTTTCAACTTCTCTAATCAAACTAAAGCGATAAATGTTAATTTATTTTTTTTGAACAACCATTACTTGGTTAATTACTTTCTTATAATTTGTATCTAATAATTTTTTATTTTTTATTAAAATTTGATGAAAAAAATTGTACCGTGGATGACTTTTTAATTTTTTATAAAAAATATGCAAATTAGAAGGAGAAAAAATTTTAACTTTTTAATGTAGGTTATTATATTTTAATTTTTTAATAATTTTTTTTTTTTTTTTAAGCAAAAAATGCCGAGTTTGCAAACGAGGCCTTAGTTAATACATTCTTAGAACTTGTTATTAATCGTGACCCTAATGCTTTGTTTAGTTAGTTTGGGATCTGAGAAGGTATTTGAAAAAGTAAGTAAAATTAAGTAATATGTATATATATATATATACACTAGTGGGTGGCACACACGATGTGTGTGCAATTTAAATAAGTAGGAATAAAAAAAATAATAATGAAATTAATACTATAATGTGTACTTAGCTTAAGTGGTATGAGTCTTCGTACTTAAACCCATGGTCATGGGTTCAAGCCTTGCCCATCTCTTTATTTAACTTTTTTTTAAAAAATAAAACATACTGCCACATGGCATGAGGAGAGTAAAGCAAGCTTCAGGACACCATATTATGTGTTCACTTTATAATAGTATAGATAGATAGATGTTATTCATATTTCGTTTATTTTTTCCTTTTATTTTTTAAATTCGTTGCTAGTGAGTGGAGTTCTTTCTATTCACTAACTTTTCTCTATTTTTTTTTTTATATTTTAAAAAACCATTTTTGAATTGCTTTTCGTTTTTTTTTCTCCTTGGACTCTCTGTGGTTGATGAAAAAAAGTAGGGAGAAAATGTTAATCTTGGAGTTCCTAAATTCTACATTTGTTGTTAGTGATGTTTGATCATATATTTGTCTTATACACTTACGTCCTAGAGGGGCTATAATTGGAGATAACTTTTGTTTCTGGTATACAAGTTTCTATAAAAATGGGAAATTCATTCTCATAATTTCGTTGTTTTATGGTTTAAATAGCAAATATTACATCTGGGAAATGGAATTTGGAATGTAGAGATATTAAAATGGTTTCCATTTCTGGTCATTGCATAATAGAATCTGTGAGAAGTTTATTGCATAAAATGGGGAGGAACTGTCATGCATGCAAGGTGTGTGTTTTGATGTTCAGAGGTAGATGTCTCACTCAACACATCGGTTAGAATTAGACCCATAAGGGGGAAATTAAGTCACCTTCAAGTATCAAGAAAAAGATTTCCACACACAAAACTCGAGAGAGAACTCATTTAATTTCCTTTAATCTTTTAATAGGCAAATGTTATTTCCACAGCCACTGTGGAGGTGTTCACCATCCCGCAGTCGCAGAGGAGGAACATCAATGGGCAGAAGAACTAGGTTGGAGTTTGGAGTTGGATCCTAATATTGGATTTTTTTTTTTTTGGGCTGCAACCCATGGAATGGAATGGATATGTAGTTCTAGTTCATATCCTAGTTGCGGATACTAGTTTTGAAGAATAATAACATTGGCAAATCGTTGCTGTTATTCTGTGGAAGTGTTTCTTTTAAAGCCCTTCCAGCATCGCATTCGGTTCTTTTAATGCCTATCTTCAACATAATTTACACTCACCTTTGTCAGTTTTGACAGTTATTAATACCTTTATGATTGTTGCTATTGGGTATTGACACTTGTACATCTTTGTATTTAATTTTTAATGTTTTGAACTATTTTAAAATATTTTATTTATTTACCAAACATAAAAACTCAAAATTCAAAATGTTTACGCCTCGCCTAATGAGAGGTAAAACATGCCGCGCTACTCGTTCACTTTAAAAACTTTGATTACCAATGTGTTATTATTATTATTTCTAACATCCCAATACCAACACCGACACCGACACCACTTTTGGAGGGTTTCTGTCCACTGCTGGCCGCAAAAACATAGGTTGTTCAAGGCAAACTTGGAGTTTAGAACACTAATTGCTAATGGAGGATCGTCTTGGTTGTTTGCTATCATGGTCCATATGTTTAAAATTTACAGTTATTTTAGAAAGCTCCCAGTAGCTTTAACTAAAACAGAATTTGAGTTCTTGATGTGAGGTGAGGTGATGTGTTTAGAGAAGGTTTAAGATATCATATTCTTACTATTGATATCCTTAACTATTTAAGGTGTTGGAAATAACTTCGGCTACACAACAATTGCTCACACAAGCTTGGAAGAGAATTGGAGAAAGAAATAAAACTCTTGTATTTCACTCATATTAGTCTTATTCTCATTCTTATCATTACATAAATTGCATAACTATAAATAACATAACATCCTAACATGCAACTCACACACTTACATTATGACCCACTAACTCTATTAGTCTTTGTAACCAATAACACGTTAACATACTACTAATGTCTCTAAACACACCATTATATTCCATTACAAGCATACCATTATTTCTCCATAACTAACATAACTAAATGCAAGAAAATATAATTACTAAAAAATCAAGTTTATATTGATCATTTGGAAAATCGTTCTTGAATAGCAAGCATTTCCATGGCCATCTCGTAGATTTGCAAACGTTGATATTGATCATTTTGAAAATATTATTTCATGTGCTTTGATATGCCCTTTGCGGATAAAAAAACTTCATGTTCACCCACGTTGTATCACTTAAGTAATTCTCTACATCTAATATCATAGGAGGATTCATGTATTTTTCAACAAAAATATTTCTTGAATTTTTTAGCATTTCAATTTTGTTGTCTTGAACCACCTCTTCCACATATTCATCTTTGATTTCCTTAACCTCTTCTTTTACTTTTTCATTAACTTCATTTTCTTTTTCTATCACATTCATTTCGTGAACTTCGTCTTCAAAAATTTCTTCTACTCCATCACAAATCTTTTCCTTTTCGGCTTCCTCTTCATATTTGCCTTCAACTTTAGCATCCTCAAATTGTTCAACCTCAATGAGATGGTGGTCTTCTCCAATTTCCATTGGTGTATCTTTAACACCACATACTTCTTTGTTGAACTCATCTTCTTCAAAGCATTGTACCCAATACTCAATGGGTAAGAACTGACCTTCATGTTTGGAGACAACGTTTTCAATCAACTTCCAAACATGGTGCATTTTTTGAAAGAGAAAAAGAAATTTTTGGTGCTTTTATGGAATTTAAAACACTTGTTGAAAAGCAAAGTGGGTATGAAGTTATGGCAATACGATCCGATAGAGGATGTGAATTCACATCAAATGAATTCAAAAAAAAAAAAAATGTGAAGAAAAAACGTGCTAGTTCAAAACATAACCGCCCATTCTCCACCAGCATCACCTTACACTAGTGGAATAGTCCCAGGTTCGTACGAAAATATTTCTAAACTCGGGTTTATTTATGTGTGTTTTTTGGTTTTATGTTTATCTGAGGATAAGACTATTACCTTTACATATACTATTTTTTTTCTAATATTCAATATTTTGGTATAAATATAAAAAGCAAGACATTCAAAACATTACCAGCCTTATTTTCTTTCCTTTCTTCTATAACAGCTTAATCTTGTCTCATTTTATAACAATACGAGGCTATAATATTGCTTGATTTATTTATTTGATCACTTGTACACTGCTTTCTGTGTAGATTATATATGATAGAACAATTATTTCTGCCTTATACATAATGGTGTCAGCTGTACAGTTTCCTTTTTAACATTTTGAGTGCAAGATTGCTTGAGATCATATAATTCAATATCTTTATCTGACAAAAAGACGAAATAAAATTTATCAGATTCTTCTGAGCTTGTATGCATTGAGAATAGCAACATTAGCGTGGGTTATGATGCGATTGTGCTCAAGAGTGGTTGGGACGAGTATGGAATTTCTTATAGCCGACCAACCACAAACGTTCACATCAGGAATGTTCACCTTCAGTCTTCTTCCGGCTCAGGTCTGGCTTTTGGCAGTGAGATGTCTGGTGGCATATCTAACATACTTGCAGAGCATCTTCACCTTCATGATTCATTCATTGGCGTTGAAGTCAAAACATCAAGAGGTAGGGGCGGTTACGTAAAAGACATTCTTATATCAGATGTGGAGATGGCAAATGTTGATATTGCTATTGAGGCTACAGGTCAATTTGATTCTCACCCAGATGAGAAATTTGATCCGGATGCACTTCCAGTTGTCCAACTCATCACATTCAAGGACATAGTTGGCACAAACATCACTACTGCAGGGATGTGTCCCAGTAGCAGGCGCATGTATGTTAGTTGCGGGTGCAGGTGCTGGGCAAGCCAACATCACACACAACAGAGTGTGCGTGGTCGGCGCGGGCCAATCACGGCCAGAAGCAGCGTCAATATCGCAAAGGTTGGAGGCAAAACGGGCAGGTCAAGCGAGGTGAGGAGTGGCGCACACAGGGCAGTGTGACGGCTGGCTCTCGCGTGGGACGACGGGCACAAGACAGTGTGGTAAGGGGCAGTGGCAGCTCACGGCGGTGTTCTGCAACATAAGGGAAGTCGAGGGAGGCGAGGTGGAAGTCGTCGTCGTCAAGGAGGATGTCGTCGGGGAACCGGAAGAAGGTCGCGAACTGGGCGCGACGGTGGTGGGAGCAGCGGGTGGGGGTGTCTGCCAGCTGATCCATGTCTGTGAGGCCGGAGTGTATGGCGGCGATGGACTTTCCGGCGAACGACTTGTCGGAAAAAAAGTTGCTGACTGATGGTTAAAGTATTCCTTCGGCAGTGCAAGGAAGGCTCCGAGTCGGGCTGCGATATGAAGGCAAACCCGCCGGAGACTCGGGAGCAATATGGCGAAGAACTCGAAGTTAAAGTGTAGAAAATTCCAGCGGGCAGCGAAGGCAAAGTTGCCGGCCGGCTGCCCGCCGGTGAGAAAAAAAATAGGCCTAAATCTTATTGCTCTGATACCATGTTAAAAAAAATACTGTATTATTGATTGTTTGATCTTGATGTATTGTATTACAAATCAGAGTGGCATTATATAGGAGAGGGTTTGGGTAGTAGGTGAGGAGTAGGTGAGGGTAAATTGGTGGTAGGTGGATGGTAAGTGTGTGGTAGGTGATGGTAAATTCTAACACGTTAACATACTACTAATGTCTCTAAACACACCATTATATTCCATTACATGCATACCATTATTTCTCCATAACTAACATAACTAAATGCAAGAAATATAATTACTAAAAAATCAAGTTTATATTGATCATTTGGAAAATCGTTCTTGAATAGCAAGCATTTCCATGGCCATCTCCATAGATTTGCAACCGTTGATATTGATCATTTTGAAAATATTATTTCACGTGCTTTTATATGCCCTTTGCGGATAAAAAAACTTCATGTTCACCCACGTTGTATCACTTAAATAATTCTCTACATCTAATATCATAGGAGGATTCATGTATTTTTCAACAAAAATATTTCTTGAATTTTTTAGCATTTCAATTTTGTTGTCTTGAACCACCTCTTCCGCATATTCATCTTCGATTTCCTTAACCTCTTCTTTTACTTTTTCATTAACTTCATTTTCTTTTTCTATCACATTCATTTCGTGAACTTCATCTTCAAAAATTTCTTCAACTCCATCACAAATCTTTTCCTTTTCGGCTTCCTCTTCATATTTGCCTTCAACTTTAGCATCCTCAAATTGTTCAACCTCAATGAGATGGTGGTCTTCTCCAATTTCCATTGGTGTATCTTTAACACCACATACTCCTTTGTTGAACTCATCTTCTTCAAAGCATTGTACCCAATACTCAATGGGTAAGAACTGACCTACATGTTTGGAGACAATGTTTTCAATCAACTTCCAAACATGGTGCATTTTTTGAAAGAGAAAAAGAAATTTTTGGTGCTTTTAAGGAATTTAAAACACTTGTTGAAAAGCAAAGTGGGTATGAAGTTATGGCAATACGTTCCGATAGAGGATCCGATAGAGGATGTGAATTCACATCAAATGAATTCAAAAAAAAAATGTGAAGAAAATGGAATTTGCCATCCTCTTAACGGTTCCAAGATCTCCACATCAAAATAGGATTGCCGAAAGGAAGAACCAAACCATTTTGAACATGTCCTGAAGCATGTTGAAAGGTAAGAAAATGCGTAAAGAATTTTGGGCTGAAGCTGTGGATTGTGCCATTTACTTGTCAAACCGTTGCTCTAAAGTTTTTATGATAAAAAAGCGCAAGAAGCGTAGGAAGGAATCGAGTCAAGTGTCTCTTATTTGCATGTATTTGATAGTACTTCATATGTACATATGTTGGATGAGAAATGGACCAAGTTAGATGACAAGAGTGAGAAGTTCAACTTCAGCGACTATGATCCAAGAAGCAAAGGCTACTAGCTTTACAATCCAAGTAATGAAAAAATTATTGTAAGTAGAGATGTTGAGTTTGATGAAGAAGGTGAATGGGATTGAACACTTCGCAAGAAGACTGTGATTATCCCTTGCTTTGATAAAGAGGAGCAAACAAATGATGTTTTGGAGCAAGCCATTTCTCCCCCGCTGTCACCTTAGTTTAAGCAAGTCCATCATCATCCGAATCAAGTTCAAGTTCAAGTTCAAGCTTTGAGGAAGCGGCAAGAGACAAGAATTGGAGACATGCTATTGATGAACAAATAGGAGCCATTTAAAAGAATGGTACATGGGAAGGAGCTACACTTCCAAGGGGACAAAATGTGATTAAAGTCAAATGGGTGTACAAAACCACGAGGAATGCTGAAGGTGAAGTGGAGAGATACAAAGCAAGATTGGTTGCCAAAGGCTATAATTAAAGATTGGGTATTGACTATGATGAAGTATTTGCACCTATTGCCCGTTTGGAAACTATTAGATTGATTATCTCTTTGGCATCACTAAATGGTTGACAAAGTCACCAAATAGATGTAAAATCTGTTTTTCTAAATGGGTTTCTTGAAGAAGAGGTTTATGTTGAACAATCCTTGGGGTATGTTTTGAAAGGTCATGAGGATAATGTTTTGAAATTGAAGAAGGCACTATATGGCTTGAAACCAGCACCAAGAACTTGGAAGAGTAAACTTGATAACTATTTCCAAGCAGAGAATTTCACCAAGTGTTCCCAAGAGCATGCTCTTTATGCAAAGATGAATGAAATTGGAGATGTATTGTTCGTTTATTTGTATGTGGATGAAACGATCTTTAGAGGAAATAATCCAAAGATGTTTGAAGAGTTCGAGAAAGCCATGGCTAAAGAATTCAAGATGATTGATATTGGGTTCGTGCCCTACTATCTTGGCATTGAGGTGACACAAAAGAATGAAGGTATTTTTATTTTTCAAGAAGGCTAGGTTAGAGAGATTCTCAAAAAGTTCAAGATGGATGATTGCAAGCCAGTGGGCACACCCGTTGAATGTGGAGTAAAATTGTCACAAAATGATGATGGAGAAACGGTGGACTCTACTTATTTCAAAAGCCTTGTTGGAAATTTGAGATACCTTACATGTACAAAACCAGATATTCTTTTTGGTGTTGGTCTTGTTAGTCGCCTAAGAAGCACATACACTTCTAAAAAGGTGGCAAGTCGGTGTCGTGTCCGTGTCAAACACTGACACTCATTGGACACTTTCCCGACACGTGTCCGATACTCATCCAAACGTGTCCTATTTTTTTAGAAGAATTTCGACTCGGACAATCTTTAGACACATATGTCCGTTACTTAAACACAAGTGTCCACTGATTAGACATACCAAACCAAACGAAGCCTTAAGTCCCATCAAATGGGGTCGGCTACATGATCTTAAATATTTCTAGTTTATCCCCTTTTAAATATTTCTAGACATACATGAAACTAATTATAAGTTTAAACAAAATAACCTAGAATATGATAATAAAATAAAAATAATGTCAATTTATAGAAATTAGTGTTACATTGCATTTATTTATTATCTTAGAATTATATATTGATATATATGACATATAATAAATACATGAAATTATATATTTTGTTTGTGTACCCTATGTGTTGTGTCTTGCATTTTTTGAAAATTATCGTATCGGCATATACATGTCGTATTCATGTTATGTCACGTGTTTGTGTCTATGCTTCTTACTTAGTCGCTATATGGAAGTACCTACCATGACTATTTCAAAGTGGCAAAAAGGATACTTCGTTACATCAAAGGTACCCTTGATGTAGTTTGTTTTATTCAGTTTCTAACAATTCCAAGATTGTGGGTTATTGTGAGAGCGACTGGGCTGTTGCTGATTTGGATGATAGAAAAAGTACTACTGAATTTATATTTTTCATGGGTGATACGGCTTTTGCATGAAGTTCAAAGAAGCAACCCATTGTCGCACTTTCCACGTGTGAAGTCGAATATGTTGTTGTTTGTATTGCTCATTTTTAGGGTTTGCCTTTTTGGGGGGAGAGTTTAGATAATATCAGACATTTTTATGCCGATGAAGTTTCCTATTTTTTCTCTTGGTGAAAAAAGATGGGATGAGAGAGAGAGAGAGAGAGTGTGTGTACTTTACTTATTTTAAAACCTTGTTGGAAGTTTGAGATACCTTACATTTACAAGACCAGATATTCTTTTTCATGATCTTGTTAGTTGCTAGATGGAAGTACCTACTACAATGACTCATTTCAAAGTGGCAAAAGGGATACTTCATTACATTAAAGGTATCCTTAATTTGGTTTGTTTTATTCGGTTTCTAACAATTCCATGTTTGTGGGTTATTGTGATAGTGATTGGGCTAAAGATTTAGGCCTCGTTTGGGAACAGGCTAATTTAGTAACTTTTTGGCTATTTGATTAAAAAGGTAGGTAAAAAAAACTTGTATGTTTGGGATGAATTTTTGGCTAATTACGAAAAAATGTGCAAAAAGTAGAGAGAAAAGAGAATCTTTAACTTTTTGGTATGAGTTGTTGGCTTTTTGGCTAATTTAGTAACTTTTTAGCTAATTGGCTAAAAAAGTAAGTCTCCAAACGAGGCCTTAGATGATAGAAAAGTACTAGAGGATTTGTTTTTTTCATGGGTGATACGAATTTTGCATGGAGTTCAAAGAAACAACCCATTGTCACACTTTCCACTTGTGAGGCCGAATATGTTGTTGTGACATCATGTGTTTGTCAAGCTATTTGGCTCAAAAATGTGTTTGTCAACCCATTGTCACATGCCTCAAAAAGAGTCAACGGAGATTTTCATCAACAACAAATCAGTGTTGGCATTGGCCAAAAATCCGGTGTTCCATAATTGAAACAAGTACATCGACACAAGGTATCATTTCATTAGAGTGTGTATAAAGAAAGAGGTGGAATTCAAGTTTGTGAAGGATGAGGCGGTTATATTCTTGACCTATGAAGCACAGATGCAGGTACGAATACCGGTACTGGTACGGGTACGATACGGATACGCCAATACGGTAAAATTCAAAAAAAATAGGATATTGGTACGGCTTGGTACGCTTGTAAAAAAATATTTATTTTTAATTTAGAGTAATGCAAAAATTAATTAAATAATTTAATTTGTTAAGATCCAACCTATAATTGACATTTAATGCCAAAAGTAAAGATATAAATTAAAATTAAATATCAATATATTAAATAACTTACAAATCATAGTTTAATTTTAAAATCATGCTAAGCATAAAACAAAAAATAAAAAAGAAGTCTAGTGAAAGGAGTTTTATCTCTGTAGTAGAAGAAAATATTGTTTCAACTGAGGTACAGTCCGTCTTGGGTATATACTAGGTATGTTAAGGTACACCAAAACTTAAGAAGAAAACATTTGGGTATGTTTTTTGTGTACCCGATACGTACGCAAAAGTACACCATATGAGGTACCATACGCCGGTAAGTACCCGGTATGGGTACGGCATATTTTTCAAAGTACCCATGCATCATAGTTCTTGACAAAATTCATTATTTGGAAGGGAGTTTGAAATTCTATGTGGCCTTTGCTTTACATTGTGCTAAAAAAGTGAATCTTTGGCATGCTTGGGAACATTGTGCAACATACCTTATTAATGAAATTTCATCTACATTGAGATTTGCATGGGTAATTCTTGACATTGGTGCTAATTACAATAGAATTTGTGTGTGAAACTGAACCAAATGATTCTTCTTTTTGTCTGTGAATTAATTCAACTCCATGGCCACAATTGTGGCTATTTGCCTCAACTTGTGTTGTGATTTGTATCTTTCCTGCCTGCAGATGTTTTCTGAGAAGCACAAGCGTTGTGAATATGTGTAGTTGTTTGAAGGTTTAAGCTTGTATGTTATAGAATAAATTTCAGAAATTACTCATGTTTAGCTAAAACTACTAAGCTCATATTAAAGAAGTTTTTGTGCTATCATTATCCACTTTATTGTTCCTTCTATGAGAGGAATATCAGTTCTTCTTATGGTTGTATGATGGATTCCATAATTTGTGCAGGAAGGGATATGCACTTTTGATTAACACGTGGAAGAGAAATGATCTTTTGAAGAAATCCATTTCTCACTATACATTGTGTCCCGGGCTTGATTCTATACATATCGTGTGGAGTGAGCCTGATCCTCCATCAGATTCTCTTGCTAAATTTTTAAACCACATTGTGCAGTCAAATTCTAAAGATGGTCGACAGATTGAGTTGAAATTTGACATAAATAAAGAAGACAGTCTGAACAATAGATTCAAAGAAATTAAGGATTTGAAGACAGATGCTGTCTTTTCAATTGATGATGACATTATATTTCCGTGCTCTTCAGTGGAATTTGCTTTCAGTGTTTGGCGAAGTGCACCAGATGCAATGGTTGGATTTGTGCCCCGTATGCATTGGATTGATCAATCAGTACGTTCGTTCTTCAGCCTACGGTTCCTTTTCTTTTGTTTTATTTTTTCTGTTAATTCATTGCCTTGTGATCTGAAGTCCTGCACCAGTATATAGTTTTTGTGCTATTTAAGTATTTGATGGGTAAACTTTATAGCTCTGCCCTAAACTTTACTGAAAATAAGAGTTTAGTTTGCTATACTTTTACTGTGATGATTGGAACTTTTTAACGGGCTCTTTTGGAATCCTGGTGGACTTTTCAGTGTTCAATACTCTCATCTGTTAAAAAAGAAAAATTACACATGCACTCATGCACTTCATTTTGGTTCAATGAACTTGTTTGGGAACTTAATGTCATATTTGGTACAATTTTTACTATATTCACAACTAATTTAGAAAATACTTCTTTAATCTTCCTATTTGTCAAAACATTGATTTGTCAATTATCCATGGCGTTTATGTAGTGTTTTAGAATCATGCTTAACAAGGTGGCTGGGATTTCTCTTACAAAATCTCAACATTGACAACTCCATAATGGTAACACATTGCCAAATGCTACATTTTCTGTCACATTATCTATGAATTTATATCATTCATTCAGTGTGATCAATGATACGCATAACGTCACATAATTTATCATTTGATAGTTAAGAGAAAAGTTAACTTTTTTGTAAAACAATATTTTAAAAATAAAAATAAATAAATCACTTTTTCAGTATGATTCTGGACTGGACTCCATAGGCAAATGCCTCTTAGGCCATACTTGACAGTTTCTGACAATATATGACACTTTTACGCACAAGGTGGATGAAGTTTGTACAACCACTTAATATGTAAGGATTGAATTTGAGGCCTATGCTAGGATAGAGTTTGTACTGAAGTCGTATAGTCCAACATTCCTTATGGGACATTCCATCCCATCAATGTTAAAGAATTCATACAAGTGAAATCCCATAGTCCAATATTTCTTGAACATATCAACAGTTATACTGGACCATTATAATTGGACATGTTAACTATGAAGTACAAACATAGGATAAAATCAAGCTGATTTGATATTTGAGGTTCCGAACCCCTATTTGCCCATTATATAATATTGTATTCCCTTTTACATCCAACTAAATTCATGTTTGCAGTTTCTGGGTAGAATTCCCATGTAGAATATATGAACTGTGTCATAGGGTCCCAAAACGTCTTAGTGTACCAGTTGAGGTTGACTTGTCTGAGTCTGAGGCTTGGTTGGAATATGTGGTTTTGTGTAGAAGGCTAGAAGCACTACCCATATCTACCATCATCTCTCCACAATCTTCACCTGATACATTTGTTGATTTAAAATGCTTCCCCCAATTCACAGGGGGGAGTCATAAATCTTGACATTGCATGAGAGTCAACAGTTAGAGTAGCATAGTTGGTGTATTTGGTGCTGGTACCATGAAAGAAATTCTAATTCTACCATTATATATGTTTTGATAGGTTTTCTCTTAGGCAACATCAAATCAAGGAGGAGGGTTGTCACGATTGTAAAGATGTATAATATGTTGTTACTTCCCTTCTTCCCCCTTTGCCTCACCAGGCCATTAGATCTTTATTGACCAGGAGAAATTTTTAATATTTCAAATTTCAATTTAAATCTGGAAACTTTCTTGCAGAAAGGCAATGCAGGTCATTACATTTATGGAGGATGGTGGTCTGTTTGGTGGACTGGTACATACAGTATGGTACTCTCGAAGGCAGCCTTCTTCCACAAAAAGTATCTGAGTCTGTATACGCATGAGATGCCAGGATCGATCAGAGAATATGTGACCAAGAACAGGTTCTTCTGCTTGATCATTCTGTTATTTTGTATGTCCAGTTCTATTATTTATGTCGTTATCATTTTGTTTTGGTACTAACATTGTTGAAATTTCCACCAAAACTCTGGATATATCTACCAGGAACTGTGAAGATATTGCAATGTCTTTCCTTGTTGCAAATGCAACTAATGCTCCCCCAGTATGGGTAAAAGGTAAAAATATATTCTAACCTTCCATTTTTATTTTAGTATTATTATATTACATTGTCTTATTAGTGTTATATCCCATGCAATGCACTGGAATTAATTATTAAGTAATGGGAATCAAATAAAGAAGCAGATGCATTTGAAGATATACAAGTCCATTTTGACCAAATCATTTGAGCAAAAAGGTTGACTAAATCATTTGAGCCGACTTTCTCTCATTTTGAGTTCATATGATGTGTCATCCTTGTGAAATGCATAATTTAGTGTTGTGTATTTCTTCTCTGGCAAGTGGTAACAAGTTCATCTTGGCATCCTTGCTGCTACTGCTATCATTGGGTCATGGCGTTCTTGACTGTTGAAGATATCATTTCATTGTAGTAAGGGATAGAGCTAATCCAACCGAGATTTTGGTTCTAGTTCGTCTGCCTATATTTTTAGCATGCCGCCTCCTTTAGTGTTCTAAACAATATCCTTGGCAAACAATTGCAGTAATGGACATCTTTTGATGTATACACTATAAATTCATCCATAAGCAATAAAGAATGGTAAGTACTCCAGGCGAACTTTGGATGCTAGTCCATTGTTTATTGAGGATATGGGCATGTCCATTTATTTCACCATTGTGTTATATCACATGCAGTACCATTGGACCAAATCTATCAAAGTACCTACAGTTGAAAGTTTTGCTTAAGAACTACAACCTTGCTGTAGATGGAATTCTGGTTTTATCTTAAAAAATAAAAAAACAAAATGGGAATGCTATTTGGATGAATTGTGAACTATGTTTATACAGTAATAGATGTACTAGTAACGTAAATTTTCTAGGGGAGTATATTTTCAAAAATAATTTCAAATCAGTGATAAACTTTGCAAACATTAATAATTAAATTCTTAAACTTTTTCCATTAATAATCCCACTGATGTGTAATTTTCCCAATTTTCTAACTGCACCAAGAAAAGGGTAAACTGGACTATTTGTAAGTATTAATAAATATTTATATCTAAAGGCTTGGGACTCTGATGGAGGAGTGCTTCTACAGATGGGCCTCCAAAATTTTGAACCCTTAAAGTAGGAGGGAGGGAGGGAGAGAGAGAAGAGAGAGGGGGTAACCAGAGCGCCAAGGCACATCGACACCCAACTTTTGGCATTGCCATGCCACATTGGAAATGATAGGCTGGCAATTATGTAAAGGGAGAGGGATCGCACTTGGTTGAATTTATTCACTGCCAGCGGTTGTGGTTGTGCCATCCCAACTACTGTGGGCCACCACTAGACACATCCCATGCTTTCCTATGGTGTTGCAATGCCATAAAGCAAGCATGGACATGCCCATGTCGTGTGCATGCCAGGCATCCTTGCCGCACATGCACAACGCCCAGGTGGCGTGCACAGCCAGTCAGGCAGCCATGCTGCGCGCATGCCAGGCAGCCTCCCATCTGCTTTCCTCCTGACGATTTCACGCACTCTGACTCTTTTTTTAAAGTCCTTTTTATCTTTCCCTCGCGGTACTTGTTTGCTATCAGTCTCTTGCCCATATGTAGCCTTGGATGGAATTTACCATCAAACCTCGGCGCGAATTGTGCCAAAGAACTTGAACAAGAGAGCATACTTAGGCCTCGTTTGGGAATATGCTAATTTAGTAACTTTTTAGCTATTTGGCTAAAATATGAGCTAAAAAAAACTAGTATGTTTGGGATGACTTTTTGGCTTTTTACGAAAAAATGTGCAAAAAGTAGAGAGAAAAGAGAATCTTTGACTTTTTTGTATGGGTTGTTGGGTTTTTGGCTAATTTAGTAACTTTTTGACTTTTTGACTAAAATGGAGGTTCCCAAACGAGGCCTTAGTGCATCTTACGAAAAAAATGAAACGTCTCTTGGCAATGGAGTTTGACTGATCCTTCTTGAGAATTTACCAAAGCACTGAATTGGGTGGAAGAGATGGGTGGTTAGGATGCTGGTCTGTCCATTGTGTTAACTGCATTTTTGGAGCCTAATGGAGAAAGATTGTTGCTCCTTGATTGCAGCTTTCCATTTTAGATAGTTTCTCTGACTGAATGTTAGAATTTGTTGTGAAATGTTGAATTGAAGACAGCCTTTTACTATTTCAGAGTTTTAGGGCTCAACTGCCCCTCCATATATGGATCCTGTCCGATCTTTGTATGGTCTCTGTCCATTTGATAACTCCGAACTTTATTTTAGGACACTAAGAGAGGTGAGGTTATTATACCTGTATTCCACCAACTGCTATGGTTAATCAAATGGCAATCGAAGAAATTAACTTGATGCTCAGCTTTTTGCAATTTGAATATCCTTTTTGTTTTATAGTCGCATATGTATAAATATGCATGTGCATATGTGTTTACTTATATTCAATGATGTTTACTTGGTAATGTAGGTGAGATTTTTGAGATTGGTTCAACTGGAATTAGTAGCTTGGGAGGTCATATTGATCGAAGGTCCCAATGCGTTAATAGATTTGTTGCTGAATATGGACGAATGCCATTGGTATCAACTCCCTTGAAAGCTGTTGATAGCCGCAACGTCTGGTTTTGGTGATTTGCGGGATTTCTCATAGCTTTACATTGCTGATTCCCCCCTTCATTTTAGTTAGCTAATTCATATTCTTGTTAGTTCTTAACTTTGTGTAAAATTAAGTTGGCCACGAATTTTATATTATTTGAGGACAGAAGCTGAGTCGGCGGATACACTTGGATTGGTTGCTGTATTCTTACCATGTAGCTCGATGGGGGAAGTCAGTGTTCTAATTTTTGTTCTTGTTTTTGTTTTTTTGTTCATGTTTCCTTTTGATGGGTTTTCTTCATTTGAATACAACAGCTTCAGTTGGAGACCTTGTTTTCACGGTGGAATGCTGCCTTCAACATTGACTTGATCTAGAATGCTACAGGTTTACTTTGTGACCTAGCAATAATAATATCATGTTTGGTTTCCCTTTTTTACATGGAAAATTATCTCTCTCCAGATAAATTTCACCATTTTTTATGGGAAAATAATTAATAAATCATATTTTTCTCAAAGAAAAACAATCAAGTCTTATCAATATTCTACTTGAACAATAATTAGTAAATCATACTTTTCTAAGAGAGAGTTGTCATTTTATTGTTTGAAAAAAAAAAGAAAAAAAAAGGGCTTATTTGATAGATTATGTAGGTGTTCGGCATGTATTAAAAGAGCTGGGCCGGCCTGAGGTGAAGCCACTGTCGCCTCGGATTTTCAATTTTGAACAAAATTTAGAGCTTTCAATTAGGAGAGTGTATCTTGTTGTGTTATTTCATAATTATTTTAATATTAGTTTAATTTATTTATTTTCATGTTATATGGTATTATTTTGATTCATGTCCGATTGATATTTAATGTGAAAATTTTTATTTTTAATTAAAAATAACTTAGTAAGTGTATGAAGAGATTAAATTTTTTTCCATAAGTTGAATATTATAAAATTTATTTATACTAAATGAAATTATTCATAGAATGTTTGATTTTAATTTAATTGTATTTTTTTAATTAAAAAAATTGTACCTTATTATTATATATTTTTTATTAGATTGATTCTAAAATAGGTAAAAAAAAATACATATCTTAAATGAAAAAAATATATTAGCCTTAATTATTATTTTATATACTTTTTTATTCAGTTAAAAGGAGTTAAATAAAAGATTAAAAAAATGTCATGGCATCCCTTAGTGAATATTAAAATATAAAATTAATAAGTCATATTATTGAGTCGTGTCATACTTAGATACATGTTAAAAAATAGTCAACCCTAACTTACTAAATTTATATATTGCTTGAGTTGTGTCGAAAATTCTCATCCTTACCCCCAATTAATTTTAGTTCTTACAGCATTGATAAGCTAAAAAATAAATATTCGATTCAACTAATTGAAGTTCAGCTATTTTATATAGATATATATATATATATATTTGTTATCTAAATTTTGTTAAATTGTAATGCAATAGAAATAAATTTTTATCCTTTTTGTTTTATCCAAATAATTTTTTTTTAAGATAATGATACATGAAGGGCCCAATTTAAAAAATTCGCCTTAGACTTCTAATAACTCAGGGCCAGCCCTATAAAAGAGTATACTTTTTTTTACATATATACATTTATTTGAGTCATATCTATCAACATCTATCAATATCTTCCCTCTACTTTTCTTCCTACGTTCTTTACTTTTCTACACATTTTTTTTATTATATAAAAGGTTAAAAAGTACACTTAGGCCTCGTTTGATAACAGACTTTTTTAGTAACTTTTTGACTTTTTTACTAAAATATGATATAAAAAAAAAACTAGTATGTTTAGGATGACTTTTTAATTTTTTACAAAAAGATGTGCAAAAAGTAAAGAGAAAAGTGAATTTTTGACTTTTTAATATAAATTATTTGCTTTTTGATTTTTTTAATAACTTTTTTACTTTTAAGCTAAAAGAGACAGTTCCCAAACGAGCCCTTAATATCGCAAGTCATCCCATATATGTAAATAGTTTTTGCAAAAATAACTCATATTTTAGAAAGGGCATTGCTATTCAAAATAAAAAATTAGACCTAATTTTCAAATTGAATAATGTGACAATCAATTAAAATATTAAATATGAATATTCTCTTTTACATTTTTCTAATCATCAACAAATCATGTCGTTTACACATCATTTGATTTATAAAATAAGTTTAAAAAGTGAACTTATAAACACTAAAAAGTTTTTGAATTTTCAGAAATTACTTTTGCACAAAAAATAAAAACCATTTGAAAATGAAGAATCTTCAAACTTTTCGCTATTTTATTTCTAAAATCAAAGACAATATAATGCATGCTCCACCTCTACAATCACTAAATAAATTCATGTAGCCTTCTCATTCATTTCCCTTGGCTTTTTATACCAGAGCCCATCATACAGATCACAAAATGCTAATCCAGTAACCCCATGCAGAGTCATCTCCACCTCAGCTCATGTGTTTCTTTTCTTTTTTTTTCTTTTTTTTTTAAATAATAACCTTTCCCTCCCAAAATCCCATCAAATTTTGAACATCTCTAGCTTGCTTCATTTCCCATTTCTCCCTTTTTATTCGCCCAAAATTTTATCTACCTACCAATATCCACGGGCCTCGCAGCCCCGGTTGTCCTCCAGTGTAGCAAAATACAGTATTCCCTCTATCCTTCAAGCGCATGCTAGCATCAGAGCCCGGGATTCTTGGAAGCATGCTCATGCTCGTGCTCGTGCTCGTGCTCATGCTCGTGCTCTTGTGACTGCATCATCGGTTCCTACAAGTTTTAGACCTTACTCATGTCAAAAAAAAAAACAAAAAAAAAGTTTTAGGCCTTGCTGTTGTTCTAGCAAGTATTGATAGGGAAACAGGTTTCTTCACCACCAGTGCTCCACAAGAAATTGGCGTATTTGGAGGCGTGAAAAGGGTTCTCTGGTTCTGCTGCAATTGCTTCCAGAAATCTTTCTTCTGCTCCCCACAGGTCCTTTCTTACTATCCACAAGAAATTTGCGTATCGGCTTAGCGCCTCTGCATCGTACGGTTCCACTTGTATGGCACGCTTGAAGCACTCCTCCGCCCTGCTAAAAACTCCACGAGTCATAATCAAAACAAAAAAACAAAAAAAAAGTATACTATAGCGGTTCTTTGAGCGAAGCTCAAGTTTAACTAGAGAGTAAAATAGCATGATCAGTGATCACCCCACTAGTGCACTAGAAGTTTCATTCACAATGGTTCCGTTTGGTAGAACTGTGAAAAAGTGATTATAGATTATACCTTAATAGATTATAACTTACAGCTATGAACATAAGTTGATAACCCGTTTGGTACAACTATGGGATTATGGATTTAAGCAGAGTAGTGTTTGGTAAATAAGTTGTAAAATAATATTTTTCTGTATAATTGTTATTTTTGCCCTTAGAAGATATAAAATTTGTAATTTCATTTATAATATATTTTTTTCTTTTTCTTTTTCATTTTATTTTATTTTATTTTCTTTTTTAAAATTTTTTTTTCTTCTCTTCTTTCTTTGTTAATTTTTTTAAATTTATTAATTCATTTAAATTAATATTCTTGTTCTAATTTATATTAATGTTGTGATTTCATTACATATTATCTTTCATATATTCATTATCAAAATTATTAATTTTTTTCTTCTCTTCTTTCTCTGTATTTCTTTTCCTTATTATTATTATTAATTGTGATTTTAGTATAAAAATTATCAATTGCCCATCAATTATTAAAATTAGTATCAATTATTAATTATTATTATTATTATTAATTTGTTCATCTTATTAAAATTAGTATCAATTTGTCCATCAATTATTATTATTATTATTTTCATATTATTATTATTCTTTATCAATTAGTATAAAATTAATGGCTTAATTAGCATCAATTAATACTAAAACTTTTAATAGTATCAATTATTTCAATTAATGTTGTGATATCATTACATATTATTTTATTTCAATCAATTGTTAATTTTGTTTGCAAAAATCATTGTTTTCATTTTTTATTATTTTGTTTTGTTTTCATTAATATCAATTAGAACAATTTTTTTTTATATTATTATTTCAATACCAAAAACTATTTCATTAATAAAAGTTAATACATTTTTGTTTTTAATTGGTAAAGAAATTACCAAATAAATTTATTTTTCTTTTAATTATTATTTATTGATATTAATCGAAATAAATTTATTTTAATTGATTATTTTTGTTTTAATTGGTAAAGAAATTACCAAATAAATTTATTTTTGTTTTTATTTTTTATTTTTTTTTCTTCTCTTCCTTCCTCATGAACCATCCGTACGCCGGTGGTTTGAACCCTAGCCACCGCCGCGATCTAGAACGGCAGAGAGGGAGTGCCGTCGGCCTGAGCAACCACCGCCTGAACAACCACCACCTAAACAGCGAGAGAGAGAGAGAAACAGAGAGAGACAACGGCCTGAACAACCACTGCGTGAACAACCACCGCCTCTGACACCTCTTCTCTCACGACGACAGATCGCGATGCGTAGGGTTTTCAGATCGCGATGACGGCAGTGGATCCAGGCTGTCGATTTGCCTTCAGATCGCGATCACGATACCTCTCTAAGGCAATGATTGTCGCTCTCATCGATCTGAATCGAACACAGAGAGAGAAAGAGAGAGAGCGCTAGGGTTTCAGAGAGCTAGGTTGGTCGGAAATCGCCTCCCTTTCGCCGGAAATCGCCTCTCAGAGGCGTGAGAGAGACAGAAATGAGTTGTGTTTGGTTTATATACGTGGCACACTGGTTATAACTTGAAATGGTGAGGGGCATTTAAGTCATTATACACTTTAAGGCTCAGCTGCGCGCATAATCAGTTTGGAAAAGCACCACTTAGCTCACTTAACAGATTATGCGTGAAATGGCTTAAATTAAGCCATAATTCATCCCTCATAATTTTTACCAAACACTCTAATATAACTTATTTTAGGAAAATTATTCAATACTCCCGGAGCATCACGTGTTCATACTCCAAACCAATCACCAATTAGTTAGCCCCATGTTGTCCCCTCATCTCCAACATAAGTCGTGGGCCTTTGTGTCTCTCCACCAATCAAAACATTATGGAGCACCACGTGTCCATACTCCGGGAGTACTGAATAATCACCCCTTATTTTAAACTATAAGCTGATTTAAGCTATAAATAAGTTCTACCAAAAGGCCACAATATCAACATACAAGGCAAGTGAACTATTTGACATGAACCAGATTATGTGTCGCATTTATGAACTTTCCTTAATTTCCATTTTAAGCTAATTCATTTGTAATTTTGTCTTCAACCAACCAATACTTATAAGTACCCATTGCATAAACTCTTGGCCTCGTCCCCAAAAGGATTCTAAATTCACAAAGTAAGAGAGCCAGCCCAATTTTTTCAGTTAATTTAAAGAGACAACGAGGACACTAATCACGTTGGAAAATTTCCTACAACTAATCTCTTCCTTTTTTTTTTCTTTTTCTTTTTCTTTTTTTCCATGAGTAAATTTCATTTTGTATTCTATATTATATATATCGAAACACCCCAAACGTGCAGTCATGTACCAAAAAAAAGTCAGAGAAAAGCTCTACTGCAAATTGAGCTTGGCTATAAAATCTACAATAAAATTTCCTAAGACTAACCTTGGTTTTGATTTCTCTCCTCCAAATTCACTATAACCCCTAACATGTTAATCCACGTTAATTACAAAAAGCAATTTATCAAAATATCAACAAAAAAAAAAAAACATCCAAAAGCAACATCAAACCAACTAATTCAACTAGTTAATTACCTGTCATGGTCATTGGCAACAAGGTGGAGGAACTGAGCATAGTTACAAAGCAGAAGTGAATTGTTTGGGTCTTGAGACAATCCCATCTGATATAGAAGGTCAGTTCTATAGTATTCCGTGTAATCATCTGGTTCAAGCTCCACTAAAACAGGGGACACCAACGATTGCATCGTATCATGATCAACAACTCCACCCCTTGATTCCTCCTGCATCCTAGTGGCTTCATCCACCACCAAACCCCACAACCCCGCGTCCTTTTCACTGATTTTGCAATCCTCATTCCAAGAAAACCCGGATAAATCATCTGGCAGAGAGTGAACGTTCCCACCACCACAAATTTTCCTGGAAAATGACTCGAATTGTAGTTGATTCATACTCTCCAATGCTGAAACATTTTCTGTGGCTTCACACAATGTACTCAGTAATGAATTGTCTTGAATAGCAGTGTTGTGAGACATTGAATAGATTGAAAAATCTGCCAAAAGGATCATCAAACAGATCATCAGAGACGGTGTGCGCGAAAAAACTTGTTCGAACAACCACGCGAAAGAGGCGTACATTTCTCTGTGCACTCGAGCTTTGATCTTCTCTAAATCCTCATAGGATATGAATTCTCTCATCTTCAATGCATGACTTTGAAGCTCTAGAATGATGAACACCATTGAAGAGAAGGTTTTCTTAACCGAACAACTAGTTGATTCTCCTAAACCTCCAAAACCCTCTTGCCATTGTTGCTTCTTCTTTATTATCCTAAGAGAAAGTGGAAAATCGACGCTGTTCGCTCTTCTTTCGATAATTGCCCAGATAAGCTCTTCCCTCTCCGGCCATTGTGGGGGCTCTGGCTCTATCCCAAGCGTAAAAGGCTCTAATGATCCGAGCTTTGATGGGAATAATGAAGCCCTGAATGACAGATTGGTTCTATGTTCTTCAGTCCCCACAACTGACTTTGACCAAGTGGTGGTGTTTTCATCCTCTGATAATTCAAAATTTTGGATAATTTCAGATAAATCTTCATGGGAAAAGTCATCAAAATCGGCATGACTGCAAGCCCGTTTCATGGTGGGAGCTGTTGAGATGGGTTTGTTGAATGATCTAGATTTCAAGAGTTTCGTGGATGGCCATGTGGTTAAAACAGAAAATTTGTAAAGAAAAGTTGTGTTTCTTTTGGTAGATTTGGTTGAAGATGAGGAAGAATTGATTGGAGAAGTGGGATTTGGAGAAGGAAAGGATTGAGGGAGGACTAGTGAGCATTGCAAAGTGGGTTGAGCAATTTTCAGTCTCATATTGGGTTCTGATAACAAGAGTGGTAAAGTAAACAGAGGAGGGCAGAGAAGATATATAAGCAAAACTTACAGGGAGAGAGAAGCGATATATTAAAGTGGGAAAAAAATAGTCAAAAGTCCCGGAAAACCCGTGTAGCGCAGAAAGTATCTTTTCCTGTTTTCCAATCGACCCTCGAGAGAGAGAGAGAGAGAGAGAGAGAGAGAGCTTGCTCTGATTGCTTTCAATTCACCAACTCAACCTGTGATATACAGATAAAAAGCAAACAGCTAATGTGGTCAAAAGTCAGGATCTTTATCTGCATGTGCATGTGCATGTGTGACTTTTCCCCTTCGGAAGTAGTGGTAGTAAAGTTGGGGTTCAATTTGTCAACGGTGGGCAAGATCTAGGGTTAGGAAAGCATCATATGGGGAAAAGCCAAATCCAAGAATAATACTCCTTTCATAAAATATTAATTTCTTATTCTATTTTTTATTATTTCAAAACATTAATTTTTTTTCAAAATAATAATATAAAATTTTCATTTTATTCTTTTTTTAAATTCAATAATAACATAAAAAGTATAATTATGACATTAATATTTTTCAAAAGATATACTATCAAAGGTTTAATTTTGAAAATCAATTTTTTAAAAATGTAATAATTATATTATCAAAAAAATTAAATTCTCCAAAAAAAACCATTATTTCGGAACGAAAAGAATAATAATTTAATGTGGGTTCAGGTTGGTAATGCTTTGCAAATTTTTTTTTTTTTGGGGGGGGGGATGCAAAACGAAAAGAAAAAAAACTACTTTAGAGAAGTGATGGCACAATTGTTCAAGTTTTATATATCAGTAATGGTAGAGGGCCACAAAAACAGTAGTTCAAATGGCTCAAAACTGCCAAAATAACGTCGTTTTGGACGCAAAACCTGTCAAAACGGCGTCGTTTTGACAGTTTTGAGCCATTTGAGCCACTATTTTTGTGGTCCTCAAATATTTTTCTTTATATATAGCTCCTACCACTTAAAATAAAGAAACCATCAATCGAAAATGTATTTGTTTTGAAAATGTCAGTGCTACATCTATTTAAATGTAAAATGTTTCATGAACACTTTTGTAATTTAGATTGTCAGAAGTCTGATTCGTGTTTGTGTTTATGTTTATGGGGGTGTAAAAATTGAATTATTGTTCTTTTGATTTGTTGGAAACTTACCACCAGAGTTGTTTTCCAGTGAGAATCAGTGATGAACACCACCATTGCCTTTGAAAGAGACCTCTGAAGCTTGTCTTTGAACTTGGAAAATCTTTTTGAAGAGACAGAAAAATAGGATGTTAATATGTATATGTATTGCTTGATATGGATAATAAATAATATACAAATACTCATGAAAGACTCAACAAGTACACATTTTACATGAGATTCTCAGGTGCAAAAGATTGAGCTGTTGAAAGAGAGAGAAGAGTGACTAAATAAGCTGTTCCTTTATAGAGAAAGAACCCCACACTTGTGTTTTTAGGATGGAAAATTTAGGGGAAAATGAGTTTTTGGGTCCTCGTATGTTGCTGCTGATCATCGTCCGAACGAACAGCATTTAACAAAAGAAGTAATGGAAAAGCATTATGTAATGGACTTAGCATTATGTAATGGACTGTAAAGTAGTCAGCCGGTCCGCATTCCTAGAGAGGTGGTTTCAGAGTTGATGAGAGTCGTAAGCCAAAAGGAATCGACACAGCTGGCTGGGTCCTCACTACACGGGGCCAGTTATTGACTCGTGGCACCCTTGTTTAATTGGACGACGCGTTTCTATTCCTAAAATTCTTTTTACAGGCCTTGTATTGGGCTTTTTGAGAGTTTGGCCCCATGTGTGCTTCCATTCCAAACCACTTTTTTTTTATTTAATAATTAGGTCAAGTTTGGGAAGACTAAATAAGTGTACTTTTTGACTTTTTATGAAATATGGGTTGGATTTTGGTTGGGTTTGAAGTGATGTGTTAGAGAGGTGATGTGACTTAAATGAGATGATGTGACTTAAATAGGATAGTGATTTTTTGACTTTTTGGATTTTTTGGAAGATGTCAAACTTGGCCTTAGTAAAAAATTCACTCTTACTTCAATTTATTAAGACAATATAATTTTGATCAAAACGATATCACTTTACTTTAAATAAAAAAAAAATAGAAATAGATTTGTCCCTTCCTTCTTTTTGCAAATGTCTCTTATTCTTTCTCTTCTTCTTCTTTCCTTCTCACTCTTCTGTCGGTGGCTATCCATCCCCCACTCCTTCCTCATTCTCCTTTCCTTCCTCTTCTTCTTTCTCTCCTCTCTTCCTTCTCTTCTTGTAGTCCATTGTTTGCTTTCTCTTCTCTTCATTCTCTAATATTTTATGGGTTTGATCTATTGACTAGGTTCGATCTACTGATAGAGTAGAGGAACTTAAGGGTGAAGACAAAGGTGTATGAAGTAGTGGTAGTAAAGTTGGGGTTCAATTTGTCAACGGTGGGCAAGATCTAGGGTTTTGAAGAAGAAGAAGAAGAAAAGAGAGAATGAGAGGTGGGGCTATAGTAGGTGACTGGAGGATAGGAGTGAGCAATTGGCAGCGATTAGCAAGCATGGGAAAAGAGGTGGCCAGCGGTCAATAATAGTGGGGTTAATGATCTACCGGTGGTCTCATCTCTCTTGTGTTGTTTTTGTTTTTGTTTTTTGGTCTTAATCAAAATGACATCATTTTAATTTCTCTTAATGTCAACCGTTATGCAAGGAACAATTATTGCAGGATCAATTATGACAAGCTCCAGAAAGTGTTTCCAATATTTAGAAATTATATGAACTCAATTGTTTGAATTGGTACTCAATTAGGTCACATAGTGTAACAATTCCGACCTGTGATTAGCTACTAAACCTTATTTTAGAATGCTTAATCAATAATTAAGATGAAATTCTGAGTTAATTGCATGTGATAATTATGTTTATATCTGTTCATGGTAGGAATATCTGTCTGTGCTTTTGTTTCGGTATGCGAATTGAAGGCCTTATCGGCATCTGATCACGAATATGCCTAGGTTAATGTGTTATTTTGAATTTTTAGAATTTTCTGATAAGATTACGTAGAATTCGATTTGAAACCAAATAATTAAAATAAAATAATTGTAATTGATTAGTTTAATCAAGGATTAATTAATTTAGCTTAACTAAGCCTATATAAGGCTAATTTGATTCTAGAATAATACAAAACACTCTCATTGAGTCATCTTTTAGCTCCCAATAGGGGGAGAGAGAGACAGACAGAGACAGAAACCAATAGAGAATTGAAACCAAAGCTTGAGAAGAAGAATTTCTTGGAAAATTGAGGAATTTGGCTTGGAAACTCAAAGACATAGCAATCTAGAGCCTAATTGAAGAATTAAGGTAAGAATTCAACCTATAAACTAAGTGTTTGAATCAACAAGAGAATGAATTCAAGTGAATTAGGTGGTTTAATGTAAGATTAAAACTAGGATTGAAGAATTGAAGTCATACCATGCATGCATGCATATTTTTTTACATTTTGAGCTTAAGTTTCAAGAACTTCAACATGTACGTAGTCATTCTAGCTTAGTTTTGGAAATTCATCAAGTTCTACATTGTTTTACCTCAATTAATCATGTTTTGGAAGGATAGAATTTGTATCAACTCTTGCATAGATTATTCATTGAGTTGAAGTTTGATTTCAAACAATTAACTTGCTTTCGGGCCTTGATTTTGAGAAATAACCTTCAATTCTTGATGTTATTCAAGTTTAGATATGTTTTCTCAAGTTTTGGGCCCAAATGATGTGTTTTGAAGCTTTGAATTCGAGTTTTGGAGCTGGACATACAATTTGAAAATTTTAGAATTTGAACTCTTCGCTCGAGCGTAAGAAGTTGCGCTCGAGCGAATAATGCGAACTCCAAGTACTTTTGTAGAGTTTGGGGGTTGGCTCGAGGGACAAAACCTATGCTCGAGCGATCACCTTTATTTGTGATCCTCAGCTTGAGCGTAGGAAGTTACGCTCGAACATAAAATGAAAGCTCCCAAAAGTTTTGTAGGCCAAGGAGGCCCGCTCGAGCGACCTATGTTGCGCTCGAGCGAACTGCCCTGTTTTTAGAATTTTGACTAAGTGTTTTAAAGTGCATTTTGACATCTTTATTGCCTCCTAAGTATTCCTAAGCCCTAATTAAGACACAATAATGAGGATAAAATTAGAAATACACCAAGATAGAAAGAAATGGGTTATGTGTTTTCCGAGTATGTGTGTCAATGTGTATCCACTATGTGTTTATGTGGGTCACGTGCCATGGACTGTCTGACCCGTCTGTTCTGACTATTCTGCTACTGGAGCTTTTTGTGAGTAACAACTTTGTAAAGCTATGTTTGACTATAAGTATTTTCTAACTAAAATGATATGATCTGTTTTCTAAAATGCTATTTTATGAATCATGAATAAATGTCCATTTTTTTGAAATATATTTGTGGCATCCTTAGTTCACATGGCTCTTGTCCGAGGAAAACAATACTGTGACTTATATTCATGTGGCCCTCACTCGGGGGAAACAATACCGTGGCCAATATGTATGTGGCCCTCGCCTGCGGGAAACAATACTGTGGCTTATGTTCATGTGGCCCTCACCTGGGGGATACAATACCATAGCTACTTGTGCACAAGATATTGACCTTTGTGGTCGTTGGTACCAACTATGCATGTGGGTCTCATGACCAATCCGATCTGATAGCTAATGGATGTACCACATATAACTATTTCTGACTTCTGGATAAGTATGTGAATCTGAATCTGTTACTAATATGAACTCTGACTTCTGAATCTGTTTTAGACATCATTCATAAACCCCTTACTTTGTTGTTATTTACTAAGCCCCAGCTCACTGTATTATTTATGTATGTAGGTAATCAGGTACGAGATCAGGCTTAAGCTGTTGCCTGGAATTTTGTTTTGTCAAGCCAACCACGATGCCTCCCGAGGAGGTTCTCGTTTTGAAGTGGTCAAGTTTTTGTGAACAATGTTTAAGCCCTTTTTGTATTTCTTTTGTTAAGTTTGAACATGTCTTTTGTTTATCTGCATGTATATACATAATGACGTGGGAATGACGTCATAATTATGTAAATTAAGGTTTTTTTAAAAAAAATTGCTATCCCATATATGTTTGCACAGCTCTATGGATATTATTTGCTTGAATAATTGCTTCCACTAGCCCCTTATTTTGTTAGTTTGTTCAAAGGCCTTTGGTAATCCCAGGATTACTGACTGGTTACGATGTTAAACCTATAGGGGCGGGTTTAGATTGTGACACATAGTTGATTGTATTCAATTTATGTTCATAAACTGAACCAACTGCAAATATGGAGATCAAGAAAATGTCCTTATTCTTCTTGCCACTTTTTTATTATTTATTTTTATCAACAATAAAAAGAGAATTTATTAATAACAAAAGTGAGGCTACAAGATGAGAACAATAACTCTATTTACAAGTAAAGAAAAGAAAGCCTAATATCAAACTATTTTGTTGTCTCTTATTTTTTATAGCCAAACATTGCCTTACAAATATATGCAAGTATGAAATGAAATCAGAAAGAGAGAAAGAGCTTGTACAAGAAAATATTTGATGTTTTAAATAGCAATATTATTTTATATCATGAAAAAAAAAAGAAAAGTCTAAATCAAAAAGACAGAAAGAACTTTTACACGAAAACATTTTAATAGCAATTTTATTCTATATCATGAAAAAAAGACAAAAGAAAAAAGAAATAAAAATAAAAAATAAAAACACATACAACGCATGTGCTAAATTGCTAGACATTACTTAATTAGTGTTTCTAAAATGAAAACTTTCTAAACTCTTCACGTGCATTACACATGCACTTTTTATTTATAAAAGTTTGAACTAAGTAAAAACAAATTGTACCTAGTCTCCAACAATGGTTATCATAACTCAACTGGGACAAGAAACAAAGAGCAAATAGTCAAAGTTGTTGAATCTGTCTGAACACCCAAATATATTACATGATTTTTTTATTGACTTCACTTACTAATGAACATAAAGCAAAGAAAACTCGAGTTAGAAATTTGAATAACATAAAAAACAGTCTTAAGTTTTGCACCATTACAAAAATTGTCATATAACCTTATTTTTAACAAAAAGAGTGTACTTGTAACTAACTAAAACCGATAGAGGTTTCAAAGAAAATAAGTCAAAGAAAACCTAAGCTGAAAATTCATAAACTAGTCCTACATTGTGCTCATTTAGGGAACTTAGGTGTGCTTAACGATGTCGTGAATGCCCTTTCATAGTAGAAGTGAGCTTTGGAATTCTCTATCGCTTTCACCCATCGACATTGATTAAGTTAGATTTCCCTTTAGAAGAAATCGTCTTTTTAAACTTCAAATCTTGACTACTAATCATGTATTCATTTCCTTATTTTTGCTATG